AAAAAAAAAAAAAAAAAAAAAAAGTTAAAAAGGAGAAAAGTGGCCACCTCTGTAAGTCCATTCTCTTATTCATCTTCCCTTCTTATGCACTATACTTAAGTAATTTTGTTCTGCTCGGAGTATGTGAGAAGACTTCAGGCCTGCAATTTCTAGTTGGAATTGAGGGGCACATAGCTGATTTTGGGACTAACTATTTATAACTCCTACTTAATTTGACGAGGCAATCCCATAAGAAAAGTAGAATTTTCGCTGATGATATTCATTTCAGCTAAATTGACAGTTGTTTCCTTTTCTGCCGACCAGCGGGCCGATTATTGAAATTTAAACCAGCCCGATAACATATTGAATTGCGATTTATTGCACAGTTAAGATAGGGCTATGTCTTGCCGTAAGCGGTGACATAGAGTCGACATCATTTCAATAATCGCCCCGCAGTCCACTTTGTCAGTAGACGTAAGTAAGTAGGTATATCATGCATGGTGGCCCTGTTGCCCTGGGCAAGGACCTGCGGCCCGATTATTGAAACTATGTCAGCCCGACGCGACAAGACATAGCCCTATCTTAAGCATGCAATATATCGCAATTCGATGTCTTACCGGGCTGGTTTAAATTTCAATAATCGGTCGGCTGAGGAACAGTTTGCTGTTAATCGTGGCCCTGTTCCCCGGGCTTGGAACCAAGGAATAGATCGTATTCGATACATCAGACGGGTGAGATTGTATCGATATCGATTGGTTCAAAACATAAACATAGCCTGAAAAGTAAACTAAGAAATCTGAGAGAACGGGTCTTTTGTAACAGATTTTTTATTCTTTTGAGTACCAAATGCCAATGCAAAGTGAAATTGTCAGGAAATTTCTCATTTTCAGCTTTTCCAATTTAAATCCTTACAGACGCTATTAGTGCCACGTCACAGTCGGTATCGATTGTATCGAACTGGATCCAAACAATCAAACATAACCTCATCTTGACACCTCCCTCCCAGAATTTCACTGTCAAAAGCCAAGAAACTGGAGTGGCATAGGAGTGGCCTAAATCATGGTGGCTCTCGTGGGTATTTTCACCTTTCTGAAACTGCTTTATCCCGTCAACTTAACAATGCGGGAACGTTCCGCGATTAAAAGAGCTGTCTCTAACACAACTTTTTTCTCAACCTGGGCGAATTATCTCTGAAATTCTTTAGTTTCATATTGAATAGTAAGGTTATGTTTGATTGTTTGGATCCAGTTCGATACAATCGATACCGACTGTGACGTGGCACTAATAGAGTCTACAGTATGGTTTGAGGTTATGTTCTATTGTTTTGAACCAAACGATACATCGAACCGTTATCGAATACGGTCTATAGTTGACTACGCAGACATGTTAAAAGTAGTAAAACTTGCATCAGATAAGTTGGCAGTTGTTTATAGCTGGCAAGACCAATCTACACAGGTCAGTCATTCCTGACCAGAGACAAGGGACCTTACACTAGTATCTTGGCCATTGTGGAAGCTTTTACTTTCGGAACTTCAGCATTCTACTGTTGACTTGCCTACATGGTTGATGTTTAACAACGTGTTGGCAGTTTCGTTTTGCAAACAAGTCGAAAATGGCCGAAGTTTGTGAAACTTGTTTGGCTCATGACGTCACCCAAAGCTCATCATCGACCATGTTGGTAGGTCAACAGCCGAAATTAGGGTGATGACTTTTGCTCCCTAATAATTGTCCATACTGTTGAATCCCTGAAAGTAAAATCTTCCACCTGTCGCTTGGAGGCCAGTAGAGGGTTTCTTGTCTCTGTTCCCGACAACGAGTTTTGAAACTCTACTACGCAATGACGTACAATTGGCTGCCTGCAATGTATTTCTAATGGGAGCAGCCAGTGTGACGTACAATTGGCTGCCGCTGAGTCAGGGCCAGGCGGGGGAGTGGATTTCAAAAAGATGCGCCATTACTGACCTGTGTAGATTGATCTTGATAGCTGGAATCACACGCTGAATAAGGAAGTCATCGGCCTGATGCCTGAATTTTGCGCATCAGCAATGAGGCTCAGCAAACATCGGCTAGTGCCAGATTTGTCAGGACTATTCAAATAGATTTGACACTGTTTGTCAACTTTTTTTTGTTGCCTAAATTATCATCTAAATTAGTTTTTTTATCGTTTATTTTACGTACACTTTTCTAATTTACTTACATTTTTGTGTAGATGGATTTAGGTTGATTTTTCAGTGTCAGCTGTTGAAATTATCAGTAATTTGTCTGAAGGAAAGACTATTTAATTGGGAAATATGCATCAAAATTCTTGTAAAAAATTGTGCACCTTTGAGCTTATTTTTGCACGCATTTTTCCATTCACGGTGGGTAGAATAATAGGCCTGTGAAATAAGTTCATCAATCTTCAATGCTACTTATTCCAACCAAATTGTTTTTTTCACTGATTTCAGAGCCTGTAATTAATAATGCTGACTTACAAGAAAAACTGACAATTTGCAAGAACAATTCAGTTGCCCTACCTGAATTGATTGAAGTTTTCAAAAAAACCTGCCACCTTAGAATCTTGCTTTTCGGGAAAGGTCCAAAGGATATTGCAAAATATACCACCACCTACCCAGCTTTATCTAAGCCAGATGGTCATTATTTGGTAAGTTTAGTTAAAGATTCACCCCATTGTAGAGTTTTTTCCTCTTATTTTATTTGTCTTTAGTGAGAAAAGTTGACACAAGAGAGAGAATGTGGAAAAGAGTATTCCGTTCTGCACTATACTTGTGATTGACATTACTCACTTAAATCATGAGCTACAAGAAAACATAGCAAAGGATCAGGTTAGTTTTTTATGCTGTAACAGTTTCCTTCTTAGGGTAATTTGGTGGCTGAAAAACTATGAGTCCGGGAAACATGCGATACATTGCATCGATTAGCGCTGTGTTTTAAGTTAACGTCATTCTTATTGAATTTTGAGATCCTATATTTGTCATTGCCACATTAAAGAATTTACCAACAAAATTTGAGAAACCAATTCAGCATATTAAAGGCAGGAATTTTTCAAAGGTAAAATATTGCATTTTATCTTGGTATCAAAATCGCAGTTGCAATATTTTCCCCCTAAAAAATCCCTATTTTAGTATTTAATATGCTGAATATGTTTCTCAAAATTCAGTGTGACTGACAGGAAGCTGAAAACACGAAGCTAATCAATGCGATTTATTGCATGTTGTATTATCTCATAATCTTCCGGCAACCAGCCTTCATATGCCGGCATCAGTCTTCATATGCTTCTCACAGTACCTATATTCTTTTTCTTAGAGAAGAGGCAGTATTTTTGCATTTTGTTTACGGGCGAGCCATCCTTAAATTATTCTACCCACGCTTTGACTCTCATTCAAGGCTTTATTTCTACTGTTATTTGTGCCTATCCTTACCACTAACAGATTTCAATAATCTAAGGAAGTCCTTTATTTCTACTTAATTCCTAAATTTTGTGTTCAACACAATTTTTGCTGGAGGTCTTTTCAATCCATAAGTTTTTGGTCGGAAATCTGTTACAAGGAATAAAGATCCAAAAATAGGAATGTTACAAAACATCTCATAAAAATCTGTCTATAAGTTTATTAACTTGAATGAGGGTGAGAGTGGGTGTGTGTGCGAAGGAAGGATGGTGAGGGAGGGGGTGTGTGTGTGTGTATGTTTGTTGTGTAAACTTTATTGGAGATTTTCCAATTCGTGGGCTTGATTTAGTTAATAAAAGTGTATTTTTTTAGCTTCGCATTTACCTCTGAAAGGTCACTTGTCACGTGCTTTCTTTTCAGATTGAGAAGGATTTTGACATAGTTTATCCGGGGAAACGCAACAATTTTCTACGAATTGGCCCGAATTCGGACGCAAGATTTTTGACCATGTATATTCCATTGTAGCGCGTGGTGACAACAAGAGTTTAAAAATAAACTGCTCTTCGTTAAACACCGACCTAAACATCGATGGTAAGATAATTATTCTTAATTTTTCATCTATATACAAATTTTGGCTCATATCTGATAATTTGAGCAGTGCCTACTTCTTTTTCAGTGGAAAGTTTTGTGAAAAATTACATCATGTCAGGACATGTTTTAAATTAAAAATTCGCGTTTCCCAGGGGGAAATAGAATATTGCCTGAATCGAAAGAAAAGTCGTTATTGAAGCCGAAAGCTTATTCAATTGTTTAAATATTTTATATGAATTAGAATACCTGAATTCGTCAAAACCAGATCATTGCAAGTTAAAAATTTGCAATTTCGTGCAAAATTTCCTGATTTTTTAGTGTTTGTTAGCAGAGTAAATTTGGTCTTTGGACCTAGCTTTCGGGAAAATCGCCTTTATATTTTCTCTCCCCAGTGTACTTTTTCTGGGCGTATTTAGCAGTTCGGCAGTCGGCTTAACCTTCAAAATACAGCATTTCGACTGAATCGAGACAAAGAGCATTTTCCAGTGCCAGGCGTCTCACAGCACTTCAAGGAGAATGATTACCATGTTTTTTATCCTAGTTCCACCTTATCTGACATGTTTTAGATGATAACTCAGTCAGTGCGACTTTTAAGCGCTGTCAATTATAGTAAGCGTACAGTCAAAATTCCAGTCCATTACAGTTAAAATGCCCAAAATTCCATTTTAATCTCTAGAATGGAACTGTCTCAAATTGAATTTTTAAAACATTTTGCTGAGATGAAATATTTTGATATCTTTTTAAATTATTTTCTCAAAAATGCATAATTATCCTAGTTATTGCCTACAACATGCAGATTAAACTAACACCTAGTACAGCGTGCTGAAAATCCTCCTTTCTATCTTCAGTTGAAACTTCTCTGTTTTCACTCTTAAAATTAACGAATTATTGGTCCTCAAAATGACATAAAAAATTAAAGTCGACTTCAATCAGAAAAGGAACTAATTCAATTGGAAAAATACTGGGGAATAAACAAAAGAAAAACTTTCCCACTTTGATATGCCTATACTTCCATCCTCAACTAGAAACCAGTTTTGAAGAAATAAAATTGAAATAATCAAACAGGTTATGACCGATGTTATTGTGAGAACTAAAACTCTACCATCTTATTTTCCAGCCTTTTCCACAAATTAAGTTCTGTTATTCTATATGATGTCACTTCTCTTCTCCAAATTTTGGTTACCTTTGGAAACTTACTCCGTTCCAGGAGTTTCTGCTAGAACTTGAAGTAAATTCAGGATATTGCGCCACATTATGAATGACCTTTTTCCCCTTTTTCTTCTTTATTTCAGACGATGAGAAGAAAATTTTGAATGCGCTGTTCCTCCTGCCGCTTTTGTTACCTTCTCTAACAGTTCAGAAAAAATGGAAACCGTCACGCATTGAAGTTTCTGAAGCTTTCTACCTTTCTGTTGAAACAATTGAAGAGGCCCAGGAAAAATTAGCTGAAAGAACTAAACGGCTTCAAAAACATGGCTTGCCGGAGCTGCCAACACCGGTTGCGGTCGGGCATAAATACTATGTCGTTGTAGCTGATCATTTTTGGGAGTGCGATTCGGCGCTTAAAGCAATTGACAGTTGCTGCAAACTTCTCATGCTTCTCAAAGTTCTGCCTCAGGATTGTGGTTATCCTTTCTTATTCCTGAAATTCTTCCTTTACAAAATTGATGTAGAATCGCATGTGGGTTACCCGGCTCTATCTACATTGAAAAATGATCTTAGAATGTAATTTCACCTCCTAGAAACTTGTCCTCCTCTAGCAAAGTATTGCTAAATTACCCATACTTTTTCAATATGATTCCTTGCTGTGAATGTAATTGCTCATTCAACACGCTGACAGACTTACTGAAGCATTTCAAAGAGATAGGCCTAAAATCATCCATTGACCCGGTTGAAGAATATTGGGGGGTCAGGAACCTTACAGGAACCGCAGGAGACAAAATACTCACTTTTGGGTGGGAATAAACTTTTCTTATTTGGATGAAACGAAAAACTCAACGATCACAATACAAGCTCTTTTTCAACAACTTCTAGGTTAACATTTTTTTACAAAAAAAGCTCCTCCCTTTCCGAAGCTCCATCAGCTGATGCCGATCGGGGCACACCGGTGACGTGCAAGTATAAGTTCTGTTGCCGCTCTTTCACCAACATACGACATTTCAAAAAACATTTTGAAGATGTTCATAATGAAGACCTCCTCCTAAATGATAAAAGATGCTCAAGTGAGGCATGTTTACCTCTGTCTATAAATGGAATTTTGAATGTCAATGTAGACATTCTTGATGAAACTTCTGTTCAAGTAGAAAATCCTGCTTTAGTAAATAATGTTGCTCAGATGAACGATCTGTCCGTGTCTACATCCTTGGTAGAAGAATCTTCGATTCTCTGTAATGACTCTCAAGTTAGTGAAAATAATTTGTGTAATTATGAAAAAGACTGGGAAGAACAAGTACTGACGTTCTTTCGTACTTTGTACAGATCTCCAGCAATCCCACTTTCTCACTCTCAATTAACAGTTGAAATGATCTCTCAGTTGGTTTCAAATATTATAAGCAAAAAATAATGAGTTTAAGTCCTGAAATTGAAGCCGGAAATTTTACAGGCTTTGTTTATGGTATGAAGGAGACTTTTGATTTTGTCGAGAAAACTTTAAGTGACTATAAGACCAGTTATCGCTCTGAAAATGTTTTTAAGAAAGAGGGATTTTACATACCTCCACAAGTAATAACTCTGGGATTCATCAAGAAACGAAAAAAATTCCAAAAAAGGTTTTGTGTCACACAAGTGAAAGCAACTAGTTGTCTTATCCCCCTAAGGCTCGTTTTACAAAAATTATTTGAGCAAAATAATATCCTTCCCGGTATACTTGAATATATGGAGTCTTTAAAGTCTGAGAATCGTTGCATGGTGAATGTCGTCCAGGGTGAACGTTGGAAAAAGAATGGGTGCCATCTAAGTGGTAGGGTAGTTTTGCCTCTTTTTCTCTTCAACGATTGCATAGAAGTGGGAAATGCGTTGGGAGGGCATTCTGGAGTTCAGAAAATTAATGTGACTTATTGCAGCATTCCAACCTTTTCACCAGAAGTCAAATCTTCCTTGAGTCACATCTTTGTAACGCTTTTAACAAAGTCTTCTAATTTGAAAAAATTTGGCAACAGGAAACTTTTCGAACCTGTCAAGGAAGACCTTGGCATACTCCACTCTAAAGGAATTACCTCAAAATTACCGAATGGTAAAGATATCAATGTTTATTTTCAGCTTATTACCTTGATAGGAGATAATTTAGGCCTCAATTGTATTGGAGGCTTCTCTCAAAACTTTTCCACAAGTAATTATTTTTGTCATATTTGCAAAGCGCATAAAGATGAAGTTAAATACCTCGTAAGAGAGGCTGAACATCTACTTCGCACTGTTCCAAATTATCGGAGTGATCTGATGAAAAACAATTCTCGCAATACTGGTATTAAAGAAAGATGCATTCTTAATGATCTTCCTAACTTCCACATCATTCTTTCCTGTGCAGTCGACCCAATGCACAATATCTATGAGGGTATTGCCCAGTACGATTCAACATAAACATCTTGATTAAACATAACATAAACATAACCATCAACATTTTTTTTTTTTTTTTTTTTTTTTTTTTTTTTTTTTTTTTTTTTTTTAAATTGAGAGTTTAGTGGCTTCTATTCCTTTAGGAATCTACAGCCATCTATAGGCACTATTTATTGTCCGAAGACATCAGGGAGTTTGGTAGACATCCATGCTCGGGCTTACAAATTTTCACGGATTAAGGCCGAGCGAATTCTGCTTACAGATCCACTCGTCAGTTCCATGAAAATTTGTCGCCACCACCGGGATTCGAACCCGGGACCTATTGACCTAGAGTCAGACGCGCTAACCACCAGGCCAACCTGGCCGGCAACCATCAACATAACATCTAACATAAACATCATAACATAACATAAACATCTCATCTATCTTTCTTCTTGATTAAACATTACATCTATACTGCAAAACTTTTTTCCCTAACTGAATTTAATGATAAAGTTCAATGTTTTAATTATGGGTCTGCTGACATTGGGAACAGGCCCCCGCCTCCTCCTGAAAAGTTTCGTAAAAAGAAGACTTTGAAGATGTCAGCAGCTGAGACTGCATGCCTGATAAAGTATTTTGGTCTTATCGTTGGAGATCTGATTCCTAGAAATGATGAGGTCTGGCAACTTTACATAGCTCTTCGAAGAATGATCGAGATTGCAATGAGCCCCTCGGTAGATAAGGAAGCATGCAATCTGTTGTCTATTTACATTAGCGAGCATCATACCTTGTATCTTAGTTTGACAAGCCAGCCTTTAACAGCTAAATTTCACAATGTTACCCATTATCCGAGGCTTATGTTTCTTTTTTGGCCATTAGCTCTACTTTCAACCACTAGATTTGACAGTAAACACCGTGTTGCAAAAAGTGTATCCAACTCTGTTGCTTGTAGGAAAAATATATGTTGGACCGTAGGTAGAAAAATTCAGTTGCAACTAAGTAGATTCTTGCAAGAAAATTCCTTCCGAACAACTCTGCGTGTGGGTGCGAATGAAAAATCTAGAAGGAATGAGAGGTTTTTAGAAGAAATTGCAGGCCTCACTTTAACAACACACTATCCTCGCATCCTTACAGATGAACGCACTATTAGGACGACATGGGTGGAAGTAAAAGGCACTCGGTACTGTGTAGGTGGAACGCTTTACGTTGCAGTGCATGAAGAAACAAGTTTTCCCATTTTTGGGCTGATAAGGAAAATTTTTGTTAGCCACTCCGGGAAAGTTTATTTTTTGTTGAGAAATTTCCGAACGATTAGTTTTCATGGTCATTACTATGCTTTTGAGTTAGAGATTGTTGATTCTTTTTCGGTAATCAGTCAAGAACAGCTCCATGACTTTCACTGTCATCAATCGATTTCTAAGATAGGTGCAGATTTGCATCAAAACCTCTCTCTGTTTTCTGCTCCTTTCCTTGCATATTTTCCCCTAATATTTGTAAGAATTGGGTATTGTATTCCTTCATGCATTATTGAATTGAGTCTAGGAACTCTTAGTTTTTCTATCCTTTAAATATTTTAAGTCTGCAATACCTTATTGTTGATGTTGTCACCGTATTAACCAAAGTAAAGGTGATATGAGTTTAGGTGCATTCTGAAATTAGTTTTTACATTTGTTGTCATTTTCTGAAAATGTGTTCCTATTGATTTAACTAGCGGGCTATTGCCTATAGTGAGAGTTCAACAATGGACTAGTGGACAAGGTACGAGTTTGAGCATTCTGATACATGATTCTTAACCAAAATTTCACGTAGAACACAATAAGCGCAATGGAAGTCACTGAAGGAAATTCCCAACGAAAATATTTAATGTTTCTAATTACGTGAATCAACCTCCCGCTCATGAAAACTCAATGCTCTACATGAGTCAAATCGCGCACTAAACGGCACCATAACAATCTCTGCGGTATGGAAAGACCGCAATCTCGAGTTCGGTGCTTCGGTTCAGCTATTCCACGTTATTAACACTTTGAGCAACACAGGACGAGAAAGGAACACACACCGCTCGATTAAAAAGCCCGCCACTACCGTTGTAGTTCGCGATTTGACTCACGTAGAGCTTTGCGTTTCTTGTGAGCGGTCAGTTCAAATTTCCCGTAGCCAATGTAAAATAAAACGTTATAATATCTTATTATTAGTTGATTTCAGTGATTTTCATTGCGCGCATCGTGTTCTTTGCGAAATTCTGGTTAAGAAACGTGTATCAGAATGCCTAAGTTCGTACCTTGTCTACACTGGTTCATTCCCATTTTTTCCTTGCACTTGTTCTCATTTATTTTTACCACCTGTTTCATTTTCATTTTTAATGTCTGACTGTCTAAGATGATATGAATTCAGGTGCATTCAGAAATGTATTTTTTACTATTTATTATATTTGATACCTGTTCTATTTTCATTTTTATTTTATTATATCTTTTTTATTTCATTACGTTTTTCATCTTTATTTTACTATTTTTTCATTTTTATTTTCTGTTATTTTTTCATTTTTATTTAAGTTCATTTTTCCATACTTTTCGTTCTCATCGTTTTTCCTTATATAAACTAATTATTTCATTTAAATGATTTTTGCTTTATAATTTTACTCATCCATTACTCCTGTAACGTCTCCAATCACCCAGAATTGTAAACTTGATATTTAACGATATGGTAAGCAATCTCATCTGTTGCAGAAGTAGACATGCTATGTACTTAAATTTCTTATAGACACTGTTCTAGTGCTTCATAGATACCTACCTGAAATTTAATAGGTTTTAATTGTTTCTCATTGAAAGCATTGGGAGAAGTTATACGTTTGGATCCAGTTCGGTACAAACCATGATGGTATATCAATTAGAATACCCCCTCAAAATGCTTTTGATTAGAAAAAATTTATATATACCTATTGAATATTCGATTTACTCAATGACACATTATATGGTGTATATAAGTGATGTAGGCACCTTTGTATGTCTATTCCTGCAACATATGAGATTGCTTGAATACCATATCATTAAATATCAAGTTTACAGTAAAGTGTGCTACTTTATTAATGTTAAGATGCTGACTTAGCAAACGCTTTAATACAACCATAGCAGACTTGGAGTCAGCTTAATCAATTTTTTTAATGTTATCTGAGCAAGTTAAAATGCTAACCTAACGACCAGAGAGATGTCTCTTCAACTCCCAAATTGGTGTAGGAACATATAAGAGGACGTTAACTTGGCATCTTGTTTGCTGTTTCAACAGATGCCAAGAGGTAAAATTGACAGCGTGCTTGCTGTTTCAACAGATGCCAAGAGGTAAAATTGACAGCGTGCTTGCTGTTTCACCAGATGCCAAGATGTAAACTTTACAGCGTTGTTAGGTGCTTCAGCAGGTATGAGCCATTAAGATTAGCATCATGGTTGTTGTTTGAACAGACATAAGAACGCTGTATCAGCATCCTTCAGCGATGCTAACTTGGCATGTCGAGTTATCGCGCAGATTTTTAACATCCTGAATCTGTTAAGTCAACAGGCCATGCTGCTGGATCAGCAGATTTTTTTTTTCCGTGTAAGTAATCTACATCCCGAAAATCTACTGATTTGCCGTAAAAAATTGCAGAAACTTGATATACCAGGTCGATACACCCACTCGTTGAATTTACGAACCAATTTCGTGAGTGCAAATGTGTAAAAATCAATATGCTATTGTCATTTTGGGTGCATTTATTTTTCATGAAACAATGATAATTTCAATCCCGAAAAACCATCAATTTTCCGTATAAAATCGAAAAAACCGAAATATGTCGACTCCCTGACGTGAAAATTAGATTCTACGTGTGTAAATACTTACGTAGGTATCGATATGCTGAACAGAAACTATGTGTGGACACAGTCAGAAGCTGCGGCAACATTAATTCAACAGAACAACTGTAAAAATTAGATCGGATTTTAGCCGCTTTGCCCGCCTCTCCTCGTTACTTACAACAAACCGTTCTTATACTCATCTCAAAATTGTTCTCAGAGCTCTGGGTTATTATCAGCTTCCATTTAAACCCCGGTTCGATGGCCAAATCGGCTGCCAAAAAAGCAAGCCCCTGTTGAAGGGTTATCTATGAGAAATTCGTGATATTATCGGCTCTCAGGAAATCACCCCATGGCTAAAATTGGTGGTATAAATGTTTAGGTGCTTTAAATAATCATATTCAAGAAACTAAGGCATTAAACTATGGAGTCAATTTCTTTGTAATAATATAACGGGATTTACTACGGGTGATTTAGCTATTATAGCCCCAGAATGCTTTTAAAGCGCCTTTACGTTCCAGAATCTCGACGGATTTTTTTTTTGGGGGGGGGGGGCTTAAACGATTCAAGAGACACTGTAGTTAAAAATATAAAGATTTTTCGATTTGGACGTATAAAAATGTTTAACTCGTTCAGGCACACCGTGTATTGTTGGAGTGCTGCTGTTATTCGACCCTCGTCTTCAGGTCAAAATTCTTACAAAGAAGCCACTTGCAAGAGGCGAATTTTTTGTAATTTCTCCCAGTTTTTTCTCCTTTAGGTATATAATTGAATTGCTTGTCAAATTCTGAGGTCAATTATATTTAATTGTAATTTATACATTTCTTTTTTTCCCCTTTACTTTATTTTCTGTAGGTATGGAGAAGTTTTGTTGATTTCTTCGGATTTCGAATACTGTAACTTCTCTTCTATTCAGCCGATTTTTATGAATGAGGTCTCTTTTTATTTGTGTTTTAATGGAGAGTAAGGAATAAATTGCTAAATACACGCGAAACAATTGTTTTTGAAAATTGGATGAATCCTAGCGTGACGGTGAAATGGTTAATCCAGCGTAAGTATTGGGCGAGCCCTTGTAGCAACGGATCGTGAAAAACTTGTAAAAAAAAAATTGAAAACATTGTGAAATGAAGATGCGCAACATATACAGAACTCGTAAAGAACTCGTAAAAAAAAGTTCCCAGTTGACGAATTAAGAATCAATTCACGAGTTTTTTACGTAAAAAGCTTATGAAAAATAAGCGAGAAACTCATGTTAG